CATGGGATGTGTGGAATTTGGGATATGTGGAATTTGGGATATGTGGAATTTGGGATAAGTGGAATTTGGAATATGTGGGATTTGGGATATATGGGATTTGGGATATGTGAGAATTTGCGAATGTGAGTTCTAGCACATGTGAGAATTTGATCACGTAAGGAGTTGAGAATGTGAGAATTTAGAAATGCAGGAACTGTAGTATATGAAGATTCACATACATAATTATTTGTACATATAAGTATCTGCACATGTGAGCATATGAAAATGTACCAATTTAAAAATATAAAAATTTAAAAATGCAACCACTTGCAGCTCAAAACTTGAGAACCTCAAAATCCCAAATTTACTACCCCTTACACATTACCCCTAAAAAAGAATGCTAATTACAAGGATATAAGGACAGAATGGTAAAGATAAGAAAAATAACGCTGGTATGGTTAATACGTCTTTTTCTACGTGTCTATTTATTATGAAAATATAATACAAAACATCCTATGTTGTATTACATAGATAACAATGCTCAATTAACGTTTTATTCCCTTTTGTCTTGTAACGTTACCATCCAACACTATGAGAAGCATGTCAGGACAGGTAAAATCGTGTTCTCTTATTCCGTGTTCTTCTTCATCGTCTTTTTCGCTTTTTTTTTGTCCCTTCGTTTTCACATTTTTATTTGGAGGAAAGGCCCGATATACAATATATTAGAGAGAAATACATCATAGAGCGAAAAATGACAGATCTGAACGTGTAAACGAAAGTACTGTTTTTCGTTACAAAAGAAAAGACAAAATGTCCGATAATCGGAAACAGGAAAACGGGGAGCGTTTTATTTCACCTCGATCCGTCTTAGCTTCTCGTCGGTTCAGGAGAAGGTTCATTAGGATGGGGTCCTTTTTTTTTTACTTCGTTTTTTTTCACTTTGTTTCGCGTGTGTCGATGCACAATTGGAGTTTTGTATTAGCGCTAGTTTACAAATAATACAAATGTATGTAAATATTCGTTATTATAATAATAGGTTCCCTCTTAGCGAGA